GATGGGAGCAGTAACACTGAGGCAGCTCTTCTTAGAGTGGAAGCAAGGCTCTAATGCAGTAAGAAGAAAAAGAGAGGAAGGCGCCTCTAAGTGCAGTATTAACAATTTATTTAGTAAACAATGGAAAATTTGCACTTACTAGATAAATAGTTAAAAAGACTCATTGTGTGGTAATTAGATCCAGGTGGGACATCCAGCCGTCCAGCAGCAAACTCTGTCTATAGGATCAGGAAGTAGAGTCCAGGATGTGCCTGTGCATCAAAATGAAGCTAGGAGAGCAGTCGGATGTAGGAGGTGAAGGGGGCGGTAATGCATTTCTGAGCATGCTCAGTAGGCTCCTTCTTCAGACCTGATCTTGATCCTATAGACAGAGTTTGCTGCTGGACGGCTGGATGTCCCACCTTGATCTAATTACCACACGATGGGTCTTTTTAACTATTTATCTTGTAAGTGCAATTTATCCATTGTTTACTAAAAAAATTGTCAATACTGCACTTAGAGGCGCCTTCCTCTCTTTTTCTTACTAAGCCCCAGGGGCCGTGGTGAAACGTGTCATGGCATTTATGGATCCCTGCACACTTACTGAATAGGGAATCACCAGACTTATGCAGGCCACAGATGGGTCGAAAACCGGCCGATTTTTTGGATGAAAAAAAAATCGGCAGATTTTCAGATCGTTAGTGGGTTAATAGGTTGACCGTTTTTCAGCATTTTGGCACATTTTTAATAATAAAGTTGGAAAAAATTGGCTGATTTTGCCGGAAATGATAGGCAAATCGGCCGATTTTTTTAAAAAAATCTGCGCATGAGCCGTGACTTGCAAGAAGAAGAAAAAGATGAAGAAACAGAAGAAGAAAAAGAAGAAAAAAAGAATAAGAAAAAGAAGAAAAAGAATTCCAGTCCGCTATTATATTTGACATGAAAAAGTATTGCAGTTGCAACATTGTATCTATTTGTATCCGAATAAAAACATCTGTATCCGAAATGGATACAAATAGATACATTGTTGCAACTGCAATACTTTTTCATGTCAAATATAATAGCGCAGCTCTCTGCAGGGACAGAAGTAATTAAATGCCGGCCATAGATGGGACAAAAATCGGCCAATTTTTTTCACCGTTGGTGGTAACGTCGGCCTTTTGAACGACCGATTTTTCGTTTTTTTTTTGTTAAAAAAACGTCTGGTTTTTGACCCATCTATGGCCTGCATTACCTGTACATCTGAGCATCTGGAGTGGCACTATAAGTGGTTGTAGGGTATAACGAGTATGGGCTCTGACTTACTACAGCTTCTAATGCACATTGTGAAAAGCTCACAGTGTGCAGTGAAATCGGAAGAAGAATTTCAGTGCAGGAGAGGAGCCGGTACAACTGTGCAAGACTGAAAGCAAGGCTGGAGTTCAGCTTTAAAGGGATATTCCCTTGCAGCAAAAAAAAAAAAAAAATCACTCCTGTTGACAAGACATTAGAAGAGGAATAGTCTCGCTTATCATGAATAATTCTTTGAATTCATCATTATTTGGGTTGCTCGTAGCCAGTGGTATCCGGCTCTCTCCGCTCCTCTTTTAGACTTCTGGCAGATCACTGTCAGAACCGGAGATAAGCATTTAATGAGGAGAACAATACAGTAATTGGCCTGTCAGATGGAGAACCCTAAATGTATTGACTATTTGACACAATAATGTGACACTTCTTATGTAAATGTATTAACAGGCAGTGATTGTTCCTATCTCACAATTTCACACATTCTATCCTCGCGGGGTCTTTTTTTTTGCCCTAGAACTAGTAGGTTCGCTATAACCGCTCCATCCCCGCTGAACAAAGAGGCATTCTGGGAATCATTTTTTTGTCTTTACCAGAGGCGTCTTCAGGCAGGAGCGGGATGGAATCTATGGGGTCCCGTCCAGGCCTCTGGCTGGATCATTTTAATAAAACGGAATCTAATTTCTTCTTTTTCAGTATGGCTCCTGGAAGCTGAAAGAGAGCCGATCGCAGAGCGGGGAATGGAGTGTGAAGGCGGGGGGAAATTTCTGTTTCCCAAAAAAGAAAAGCGTTTATTGAACCTCCAAGAGTTATATCCTAAAGGCCCCCGTAGACTGCATGGATTTCAGCAGCTTGAGCCCAAGAGAGGGGAAAATCTGTCAATCTCCCCATCCACACTACCAATGCCCATGGAGGAATCTCCGCTGTGTTCAGGCAGCTGTGGATGCTTGTTCTGCCAATGGCGACTGCATAGGATAGGACAGTTAAGCCCATAGATTGTGAATCTTCCTTTCCTTCCAGCACAAGTGGAAGGAAAGGAAATGATTCCCCCACCCACACAGTCAGTGTTGATGGGGAATCACTCCTGCAGTGTTCTGCCAGCAGAGAACAGGATATATAACTGCTTGAACCCTGTTTTGTGTAATCGTTTAGGATTGGCCAAAATTACCTTTACTGAACTAACAGCACTTTAAGCACTTTCAGTCCTAATACAAACCCCACCAGTGTGTTCTGGGTCTAGCAAAGGGCTTTCTACTGCCTGGATCCACTTGGTGTGTATGACAGGGCTCGACAAATCCCAGGCGCCAGGTTGCCATGGCAACTAGAAGTTGCGTTCTAGCCCCTGGATTCACATACTGCCTCCCTGTGACTTCAATACAAAATCGTGCCCCATTGACTTCAGTGCAAGAACACCGCCCATTGACGTCAGTGCAAAATCACATCCCATTGACTATAATGCAAAAATCACGTCCCATTGACTTCTGGGCAAAATCACATCCCATTTTCTTCAATGCAAAATTGCCTATCATTGACTTCAATGCAGAATCACATTCCATTGACTTCAATGGAAAATCGCGCCCTTTTGACTTTAATGCAAAATCACGTTGCATTGACTTCAATGCAAAAACTCCTCCAATTGATTTCAATGTAAAACGCCTCCAATTGACTTCAATGCAAAAACTCATCCCATAGACTTCAATGCAAAAATGCATCCCATTGACTTCAATGCAGAATCACGTCCTATTGACTTCAATTCAAAACCGCCTTCCATTGACTTCAATGCAAATTTGCCTCCTATTGACTTCGATGCAAAATCGCCTCCCATTGACTTCAATGCAAATTCGCCTCCCATTGACTTCAATGCAAATTCACCTCCCATTGACTTTAATACAAAATTGCCTCCCATTGACATCAATACAAAATCGCCTCCTATTGACTTCAATGCAAAAATGTCTCCGATTGACTTCAATACAAAATTGCTTCCCATTGACTTCAATGAAAATCGCCTCCGATTGACTTCAATGCCAAAACTCCTCCCATAGACTTCATTGCAAAAATGCCTCCCATTGATTTCTGTACAGAATCGCATCTTATTGACTTCAATACAAAACTGCCTTCCATTGACTGCAATGCAAAAACACCTCTCATTGACTTCAGTGCAAAAATTCCTGACAATGGCAATCCTATGTGAACACTTCTCCCCACACACCACTCTACTGTTATCACTTGAGAGTCTAGAACGCACCGCTACAAACTCAGGACCCTGTTCATAATGGCACTCAAAACGCAATACGTGTGGATCTCATCTGTGTGAACCACCTCAATAGGAACACATAATATGTAGCGTGTCATGCGAATCTGGGAGTGTGAAAACGCATCCAGCATCACGTATGTGTGAACCAGGGCGGCTCCATTCACACCTGGGTGTTTTGGGATTGTGTCAGAATCACTGTCATCACAAAATGCAGATTCAGGTGCCATTATTTTCAGTGGCACCTAAAACGTGGTGTGGTTTTATCCTGAATGCCGAGTGGGAAATCTCATCGCGTGAAGCTTGTCACCCCAAACGTTTCCTTCCCCCCCGGGCGCTGACAACCCACACTATTCAAATAAAATAAATTGGCTCCTGACTTTTTTAGCTGGCTTCTAGATTCAAAGCAAATTTGTCATGCCCTGGTGTATGTCCTGACCAGCTTAGCTCGTGCCTCTGTCTACTGTGCTGCACATCGGTCCCACAATCCCGCATTTATCACCCTTCCATGGGACATAAGTCCCGAAATACTGCAGAGAAGTATCATTTCTGCTTCTCATACTTACCATCTCATTGGTGGTCCAAACTTCTGAACAAAGGGCCAGTTCGGGGAGGGAGGAGCACTGTGGGCATTGGGAGTACAAAAGTTCTTGACATCAGTAGGAATAAAAAATGCCCCATCTTTGGTGTCAGTGGGAGAAATAGTGACCCATTGATGGTGTCAGTTGAATGAATAGTGCCCCATTGATGGTGTAATTGGGAGGAATAGCTCCCCAGTGGAGCTGGGGGGTTATGCCCCATTGTTGGTCTTATTGGGCCTCATTGTTGGTGCTTTGGAAGGAATTTTGTCCCTTCATTGGTGTCAGTGGATAAAAATAGTGCCCCAAGGGCCGGATAAAGGCAAGCAAAGGACTGCAGTAAAGGCTGAGTCTTGAACATATGCTAAGAAGATCCCACAGATGGTTAGTGGACTTCTTAAAGTGTTACTAAACCCCGGACCCTGCATTCACTATATCTGGTCTCCCCGGACCCTGCATTCACTATATCTGCTCTCCCTGAACCCTGCATTCACTATATCTGGTCTCCCCGGACCCTGCATTCACTATATCTGGTCTCCCCGGACCCTGCATTCACTATATCTGGTCTCCCCGGACCCTGCATTCACTATATCTGGTCTCCCCGGACCCTGCATTCACTATATCTGGTCTCCCCGGACCCTGCATTCACTATATCTGGTCTCCCCGGACCCTGAATTCACTATATCTGGTCTCCCCGGACCCTGCATTCTCTATATCTGGTCTCCCTGAACCCTGCATTCTCTATATCTGGTCTCCCTGAACCCTGCATTTACTATATCTGGTCTCCCCGGACCCCGCATTCACTACATCCGGTCTCCCCTGACTCTGAATTCACTATATCTGGTCTCCCCTGACTCTGAATTCACTATATCTAGTATCCAAGGAACCTGTATTCACTATATCTGGTCTCCCCGGACCCTGCATTCACTATATCTGGTCTCCTGGACCCTGCATTCACTATATCTGCTTTCCCTGGACCCTGCATTCACTATATCTGGTCTCCTGGACCCTGCATTCACTATATCTGCTTTCCCTGGACCCTGTATTCACTATATCTGGTCTCCTGGACCCTGCATTCCTATATCTGGTCTCCCCGGACCCTGCATTCACTATATTGGTCTCCCCGGACCCTGCATTCACTATATCTGGTCTCCCCGGACCCTGCATTCACTATATCTGGTCTCCCCGGACCCTGCATTCACTATATCTGGTCTCCCCGGACCCTGCATTCACTATATCTGCTTTCCCTGGACCCTGCATTCACTATATCTGGTCTCCCACAGTACATCACCTCAGACAGCCACATACACTGCACTAGAAGGTAGGAAACTCTCCAGTAGAATTACAACCCGCATCCTGTTCCCTAACACTTACCTGTCCCTGTCACCGCTGCAGGGTGCGTCACGAGCCTTGCCGTTCCCTCGCATTTCCTGATTGCAGGAGAGTGTAAGTGATCCTTTGGCTCCTGCAGCTGCCTACCAGGAACTGAGAGGAAGGAGCAAGGGTGTGGCTTGCAGGGCACTGTGTGCTTCAATGGATCTGGTCTCCCCTGCTTCAATGGATGCACACAGCTTCAATGGATGCACACAGCCCCGGCTGCGGGGCTGTGTGCTTCAATGGATGCACACAGCCCCGGGTGGGAGTTTAGTTCAGTTCATCAGAAAATTAAATGCCTGTTTAATGTGTATAGGGCCAGGAAGTATGGGTGGCACTTAGTTGTCAGCTCTCCAGCTGGTCCCAAGCACTTTCATCTTTTCCTAGTCTCCCTTCCAGATTCGCTCTGGATGGCCTCTTGAATGGCCAGACGCGATGACGTCACGTCCGCACATACTCATAGGAGGCACGTCATTGTGGCAAAGAGCAGTGCCGTAATTGTACTCTGAGCTGCACATGAGCAGGTGAAGCATTGATAACGGTATATACCACTACAGTCCCTTCTGGTATAAAAACTCTCCCTTTTGGCTCCTGCAGCTGTCTATCAGTTCCCTTTGATAGCTCAGCTGGTAGAGCGGAGGACTGTAGTAGACAAAGGAACTGAGAGGAAGGTGCAGGGGTGTGGCTTGCAAGGCACTGTGTGCTTCAGTGGATGCACACAGCCCCAACTGGAAGTGCACATGCACTGGTGTCCGCTATGCAATGGAGACACCAGCAAACAGGGAGAGGTGGAGGGGAAGCAGCTTGGGAACGGGCTGGGGAGCCAGGAAGGACAACTTTGTTTTACATTATATGTTCGTGTGGATTTCCTGAATTAAAATATATAAAAAAAAGGGCTTAGTATTACTTTAATACAACTCGTCTAAAAGGCACGACAATGAAAGTCAGCACTGTGCGCATTAACGCATGCATTATAGTGGGAATGAGCCTGCAGGAGCTGAGACCAGGGTGATTGAGCTGTACACAGGCTTGCTTTTAATCTTCCACTCTGCATCCCTTACTTTATGAGGTTTTTTTTTTTTTTCAAGTATTTAAGAAAATTGACAGAAATAACTGAGATAAATGGTTGCCATGACAACCCATCACGCAGCACCTTTCATCTTGCAATATCTAGAAGTGGTATTGCAATCCAAATGAGGAGGGGGTGATACATTAACAAGTTCTGTGCTGTGCGATTAAAGTGTATGTAAACCTGAACAATGAACGTCTTTTATTTGCTGCCTTTTGGTCTTTTTATTATTCCATTAAAAGCATGTGGTTATATCGGGGCGATAAGTGCAAAGAAATACCTGCTGACCCTGCCAGAAATCTAGTGCTGTCCTCTGCATTGTGCTTTGGTAGGTAAAGCAGTGTTACCAGCTCTGCCCAGTTCTCCTCTGTGAACTACAGAACACCTCCTATTTGTTATAGAAAGGGGGAGGTGTTCTGTAGGGCTAACACACTTTCTGTAATAGGATGTTAATGTTGCTCTTCCTAGAGACAGTACAGTGTGCAAGCATTGGCACCCTAAGGGCCCATTCACACTAGAAACTGCGCATCAATTGCGTGTTTATTCTTTGCACATTTGCATGTATTTGATGCATGGTTTGCATTCCGTTGATTCACATTTTTCTATCTGCATTTGTCCTGTGAAGTAATTTCCTTCTTCTTTCTTTCTGTCCTCGGGCTGCAATGTGCACTGCGATGCTTGTTTGTGGTGCGGAAAAATGCAGCATGCTCCACATTTTTTATGAACTATGAACATAGGATGGATTTTATACTGTCTATGCAGTTGGAGTGCAGTCAAAAATGCATCCAACTGCACCTGGTGTGAAGGGCCCTAAGACAAGTTTTTTTACTGGATTGATCACCAGGTGATCCCATCTATGGACTAGTAAGATGCAATATATTACATTTCTGTTCTTTAAAACTTTAGATAAACTTTAAGCGCTTGTTCACACAAGTGGCTGGTGGGGGAAGGTGTAAAAATAGGCAGTTGAGCCATGATTTTACTGCCCCTTGACCACCCCTTCCTCTGCACACTGCTATACAGCATTACACATGTCCAGCAAAATGTTGCATAAAAACAGGGATTTTACTTCACATACATTTCAGTACAGGTTTAACTTGACCAACTGCATCAAAGTAATGCCTCTCTGGCCAGTCCCTACTCTACTCTGCAAAATGCAATATACCTGCTTATAGGATACTGTAGGAGAGCTATAGTCTAAGGTCTGGTCATTACCTTACGTTAGGTGCACTACAATAAAAATATGATCTGTCTGTGCTCTATTCCTAAAGGCTTTGCACATACTATATAATATATATATATATCTCCCCATCAGGTGCTAAAGGGGTGTGACCACGTGAACACCAAATTATCTGAATCAACCCTCTCTGCACACCGTTGCACACCCTTACACATTTCTAGTAAACTTTGCATCAAAGCGGGTATTTTTAGTTGCATACATTGCAATACATATATAAGCTGGACTTCATTGCAATCCCTCTCTGGCTTGTCACTACTCTACTCTGCAAAAATGCAAATGTTCAGCGGGCAGTACTGCCACCAAGAGCATGCTATTCAGGTGAATGGGGCCAAGCCATAATGTACACGGTTGTGGAGAGGTGATGTGGGCGTAAAATAGATGGTGAGATTACATACCACCTCACAGCCTCCTATCAACTTCTCACTAAAAAGCAAGGTACCACAGATCGCCTTTCAAAGGGATGGCAAGAGTTGTCAGAAGTGTGAACAAGCCACAGATCTGAATTCGGAGAGATGTAAAGTTTGTGTAGATTTGTCATGTGTTTTCTTCCTTGTGGTCCCAATCATACTAGCATACAGTGCAGAAAACCCACGTTCTTTGCCAGTTTCCTGCACCACATTCAAAATTCACTGCCCTTTCGATCTGCAGTGGGTGTCAGTGCAAAGTTAAAGCAGATCTCCACCCTTTCACTGCCACATTTAGCACTTTTTCGGTGGGGGGGGAGAGCGAGTATCTGGTTTTGAAGTTCAGCCTCCTCCTTCCCCCTGCAGTCTTCTGGGACACTTCGCAAGTACCAGAAGACTACGGGACCAATCACAAGGCTCAGTATCACTGCACAGTAGGATACCGATAATTTCCCTTACTTGCAATGCCAGCGCTGGTAACCCAGAAGTTAGTGAAGAACTGTCCTGGGTGACAACGGCGCTGGACCCCTAGACAGGTAACTGTCCTTGCATTAAAAGTCAGCAGCTACAGAATTTGAAGCTGCTGACTTTTCATTTTTTGGGGTGAGCCTGGAATTCCTCTTTAATGACACCCCAAACGCAGCTGGCAAACACAGTGTGTTCGCCCACTCTGGATTACAAAAGTACCATGCGATCCGGTTGCAGTGCATTTCCAAAAGAAGTACTAGTACTATTGGTGCGGTGCAATTTTAACCCATTCAGAATGTACAGGCCTGCATGTGCGCAGAGCGATCCTGTGCGATTCGCATGCAGTTCCTAGTGCGAATGGGTCCTGAATCTTAGCGTGCTTTGCGTACTTTTTTCCAGATCTGTGCAGTAATCCAGTGTGAGACGTTACCTTCCTGTAAGAAAGACCAGTCGCTGCTGCTCTCTCTCTCTCCCCTTGTGCAGGGTGACTGGTCTTGTCTCCGCCCCCTCCTGTAGTTTTCTGCAGGCAGCTTGTAGTGGGCGGAGCCTGCTGGGCCTCTCCCACAGCTATACTCTCAGCACCAGCTATGTACAGCACAGTGATGATGTCACTGCTACTTTCACATGGTAATATCTGGGTTTTAAAGGTGTTCATTGCACACAAAGTGGATTTGTAACATCCGTAGAGGAATGTTGAAAGGAATTTCTTCCTGCTTGGAGTTCAGCTTTAAGCACTTTGTGTTTATTCAGCACGTTACATTCTGTGTCTCATTCTATACATATTTCTTTGTTGAATTACTCAGGAGAACGCGGATTCTTACAGAGCGAAGCATTCATCTTTTTCCAATCAGTTATCAAGTGAATCTGTTAAGTGGTAACAGAGGGACGTATACACATTATGTTGAGATGGACAAGTCAAGTTTCTTTTTTTTTTTTTCCCCGACGCGTCTTCTGTAATAGGAACAGCTGGTTAAAGTACGCAGGCTGCTCTTTTTGTCTGTTGACGTGCTCGGCAGGCTTATTAGCATTCTGCTCAGCCACCTAGCGAGCCGGGGTGGTGATGAGACGGCGGGCTGCAGTAATTTCCCCATTGCAGAGTTCGTTCTCCCTCGCGGCTCGGAGGAGAAGGTGGTGAGATGGGGTGACCTCTCGCCTCAGCAGACTACGTGCAATGAAAAAAAGCGCACTGAAGATCGCAGAAGACACTCATTGTTTTCTCTGCTCTTTAACAAAATAAAGTAACAGGGCAGTGTTTAATAGACGCAGCGCCAGCTCCAGGCAAAAGTCAACATTTGGTAATACATATGCAATGGGCTTAGCTACTTAGCCGTGCCTGCTGCTTGTGTTTCGGATGCATCCCTGCAAGGATAAAGTTGTCCCCAAGGTTATAGGGCTTTGGCTGAATCCTATTGGTGGCGGCAGATTGTGCAGACCAATAGCCATTACACATGAGGCTGTTTTAACCACTTGAGCTCCAGAGGATTTACCCCCCTTAATGACCGGGCCTCTTTTTGCTACTCGGCGCTGCACTAATTCAACTGATAATTGCGCGGTCATGCAATGCTGCACCCAAACGAAATTTACGTCCTTTTTTTCACACAAATATAGCTTTCTTTCGGTGTAATTTGATCACCTGTGCGCTTTTTATTTTTCGCGCTATAAACAAAAAAAGGCCAAAAATTTTGAAGAAAAACAATATTTTTTACTTTCAGCTATGAAAAATATATATAGTAAACTCAAAGTTGGTTATAAATTTAGGCCAAAATGTATTCTGCTCCATGTTTTTGGTAAAAAAAATCCCAATAAGTGTATATTGATTGCTTTGTGTGACAGTT